AAATTTAACACGCATCAGCCCTTCTAAACGGTGGCTCTTCGACGGCATTGGGGCTCGAATCCACGACTCAATGCTGTTTATGAAACCACGACATCTGTTTCACACAGACAGCGTTTTAGATACTTCATTCAAAGTAATATTGGGGCCGCCAAATAACGGCTCCGCTTTCCTAAGAAACCGTAGCTTTTCTGTAATATGTGGATGAATATTGATTGTGAACCCATAAGAAACATAAACTCCCAAAATGAATTCATAAAACTATTCCTATTAATAGAATTCTAGCATTCAGAAACCTGTGCAGGGATGTAATTTTTCATAAATCCTACAGAAACAGGAAATTCCATGTGAAGTGAAGCTAAGTTCAATGGGTCACGTGTAATCCTTTCACCCAATCCGCTGCGTGTTTTCATTACATCACCGCACTATAGATGCTATCCATGCACAGTGTTAAAACCCAGACGCGTCACGGCACGGGAAGCGGCCGCAGGAAGCGAAAGGGCGAGAGAACGGTGTCAGATGAACGGAAACAAACACTTCCTCCGAACAGAATAAAGTATCAATGATTTCGCAAAATATTCGGCGATATTTTCAAAGCTTCTCCTCGTTCTGAAATCATCTGTTCAGGTCCCCCGCCCCTTTATGCCTGTTTAACTCCAAATATTAATTATCCCTATTAAACAAATTTTTTATTTTTACTTTCTTCGATTTATCAGCAACATGATACATTTTGTATGGCATACTAAAATTATGCGCAATTTTTTTTTATTTGTAGTCATTTATAGTACCAATATAAATATTATATATACATAAAATTATGAATCAGGTAAAGTAGATAAAAATAAATAAAATATCAAGAAACTAAAGAATACGAAATTTGAAAAAAATTTCAAAATACTTTAAAAAGACAAAAATGGAGAATAATATACTAAATGTTCTAACAGGCTTTAAAATGTTAAGCTGGATTATTCTAGAATTGTAAGCCTAGATGTATCGATTCAATGTATCTACATCAATACAATACACATACATACACAATGTATCGATGTGATCGGTTCGAATGCTTTCGATACAGCTATTCTTATCCGAAAAGTCAAGTATGCATATTTACAAGAGAGGGTGCTGAAAAGGTTTAATTATTCCGAAGAAAAATTCAAGATGTCTGGATAATATTTATTCTGCATACTAATTTTCCTTTTGTACATAATGTTGTAAATAACATCTATTAACGCTGATTTGTTTGATTTCAGAAACCTGCAGGTTAAAACAAATCACTGTATCGTAAAGTTTTAATTATTGCTGAAAAATAATCGAAGCAAAAACTTTATTTTTATTTACTATACTTCAGACTTTTCTACATAGTCCCCATCCAGAGTTAAATATTTCTCCCAACGTTCCTTGGCCTTCCGACGGCTGTCGTGATAGAATTCAGTAGACTGAAAATTCTATATTCTCCATTCAGCGGGTTACTAGAATCTACGGATTCCTGAAACCAGGGTATAATTGGCTTTTGTTGTTCTATATCCCGCAAAACGCGCGCGAATCAATCAATAAATCCCGAAACCAAACAAATCAACACGGATAACTGTCATTTGCAACACCGAGCACGAAAGGTTCAATTAATATGCAGGATAAATGTTGTCCAGATATATCTAGATTATTTTTGTAATAATTACATTAATACAACTTCGCGAACATTTTATTTCTCTCTTATATATATATATATATATATATATATATATATATATAACACATCAATCAATAACTCCCGAGACTAACCCAGAGATGGTGCTCGTAGTAAGCCAGTAACCAGGTCTTTCTAGAGTACGAACCTTTGCTTGAAACGTGTCAAAATTTTAAGCCGATCGGACCAGAAACAGCTGAGTTATCGAGGTTGGAGTAAAGTCGTTTTGTAGTTTGTTTAAAAAATGGAAAAAAACGAGTTTCGTGTTCTGATAAAACATTGTTTTTTAATGGGTAAAAACACCGTGCAAGCGAAACAATGGATTGAAAAATGTTACCCGGACTCTTGTCCATCAAAAGCAACGATTTGTCGGTGGTTTGCCGAGTTTAAACGTGGTCGTACCGACACAAATGACGCGGAAAGCTCGGGTAGACCTGTGGAAGCCGTTACACCGGAAAATGTGAGTGAAGTGACAAAAATTATAATGAAAGTTCGTAAAGTGAAGCTCCGTGAGATTGCTGAGATGACACAGATATCATATGGAAGTGTATTTACTATCCTTCATGAAAAATTGAGCATGAAAAATGTTTTTTCCAAGTGGGTGCCGCGATTGCTTTCGATGGAACAAAAACAGCAACGAGTCGATGATTCAGAAAGCTGTTTATCGCTATTTACCCGCAACAAAAAAGATTTCTTGCGAAAAAAAAAAAAAAAAAAAGATTTGGAAAAGCGTTGGAACGATTGTATCACCCTAAAAGATGATTAACAAAAGGTGTTATGTTGATGAATAAAAAAAAAATTTTGCAAAAAAAATGTTGTTTTCAATGTTAGTCTCGGGAGTTATTGATTGATGTGTTAAGGGTAAAATCAGTTTGCATTACAAAGAAAAAAATCGTCTTTTTTAAAAATCATTGACAAATTTTTGCAGTTTTCTAATTTCTTAAAAGTGATCGCAATTGAAAAAGATGACTTCCAATAAATACTTTTACTATTTCATAATATGCATTTTTTTACTGATGCACGTAAATTTAATTTGGAAAAATGCAGCGAGTTTTAAAACTAACTTCACAAGAAATTTTTATCATTCGTTTAAAAATTGGCTTTTAGATTGATGAGAGAAACAATTTGAAACATGCTATTATTTTTTTAAAAAAATGTTTTTCCAATTAATGATATATCCAAGTAGAAGGAATATTCATGAAAAATATCGAAGTACAAGAAGAAAAACCCATTGTTCGCGCTGCCATCTAGTGAGTAATGATGCTATAAAACGATTGGAACTAATGTTTTTCTGATAAGGTTCATTGAATTATTAGGTTAAAAATATTAACGCTAGCAAAATGCAATTGAATAGATTCTCAATACATTTCATAACATCGCCGTGATCGTATAGTGGTTAGTACATTGCGTTGTGGCCGCAATAACCCAGGTTCGAATCCTGGTCACGGCAAATTTTTTAAGATACGAACAATTTAGATATAATACCTAAAATAAATGAGTAATTACAAATAAAAACATAAAACTTCTTATTCGATTAAAAATAATCTTGACAAACCATTGTATTGTATAATTGCGTGATCGAATTCTAGATACATAACTCGTCACAAAAACAAAAAAATGTGTTAAAGATTGAACATAAACTGTGGTAATATGCGTTTGAATAACGATTTTCCTGAAACTCAGTCTAATATTATTAAATATTTATTTCTCAAAGATAAGTAAAAAAAAAATTGAAGTAAGCTGCAAAAAGAAAATAACTAAGTTTCAGTGTTAAAAATGACCATCCTTTACTCTGTGAATCCCAACATTTTTTTTTTGATACGATCATTGATAATAAATTATTGTAAATTGATATTTGTATTAAAAAGGTGAACAAACAAAAAATCTTTCATTACTGAAAATTATAGATGACAAATATTTCAAATGGGATATAATCTTTATTGGTATTTATTCACATGTTTTTGATAACTCTAATCACAAAGTGGTTTTGAACTCTCTCTTGAAGCCGATAATAAAATTTTGCAATTATGCAATGATTTAATGATGCAAGTTCCGTGTTTTCTAGAATATTGTTTCATAATAGATTCGATAATCCGATATCGGGCCTTGACACCATTATTTCTAGCCACAAAAGATATAAATGTATGCATGATGTAAATGTACACATAAATGTACAGAGTTCGAAGGGGGGGGGGATTCATCTCATTGAAAACGAATCAATCCTAAGCTGTGTTTTCAGATTTTCAGGAGTGGCTGTTCTCAAAGTTCCTTTGAAGTTTGGAAACTGTCCTCTTGGAAATGCTTTCGTTTTGTACTATTTCTATTTAAAACTATGCTCTGAGTTCGTTAGTTCGAACCCTGATTTTACTAAAGACGTATCGTCATCTAGCTTGGATGATGTACGTTAGATCTGTCGAGGCTCAGAGTCCATCCTTCGGCGTGTTGCGGTAGTTTTAAGAGTGGGTTCTAGCTCAGGCGTTGTCCTCGTCGCATGACCGAGGTTCAAAATGATGAGGTCCATTGCCACTCGCCATTGTGTTGTTTTAAAGAGTGAAGTTGATAAATAATCAATCTGTCAAAAGTGTGATGGACAATATTTCCACGCATCAGGGAAAGATATTTTTACGTGCAACTATACTGTAGTGTTCATCAATTGGTCTTTAACCCTATTTTTTTATCCTTTGTTCTACTTAAGGAATTAATGCATTTCATCTCTCGATCTTTTTCCTTACCAAGTGGTAACGGTATTCTAAAGGTTATGGTCGCGGACACGCGGCAGGCTGGTTTCGTCGAGTCGTGGGTTGGAACCTTGATGCCATTGAAGACCCACCGTACAGACAGGGCTGATGCACATTTAATCTGTTGAGGTTCAAATTCCTCCCTTTGGTGTGGTGTGGAAGTTAGAAGAGTGAGGTGTCGGCTCAGATGTCGTCCTCATCACTTGATTGAGATTCAAAATCACGACGTCCATTTCCGATAGCCCTCGTGTTGTTTCTTTCACAATTATTAATGAAACCAATCAATCAATCTCTTACTCAAGAGATCCAAGAAAACCAACAATTTTTTTTAGATGTGGCCTCCTGTTAGGGCAACATCCCCTACCACACCAAGTTTGGCTTGGTTTTGTTTTTATTGACGTCGCACTAGAAGCAACACGAGGACTATTGGCGACGGACCTCGTTATTTTGAACCTCGGTCAAGTGACGAGGACGACACCTGAACTGGCCCCCTCCCTCTCCTAACTTTCACACCACACCATCGGGAGGACTTTGGGGCCCGACAGATTTAACGTGCATCAGCCCCGGCTACACGGTGGGTCTTTAACGGCCAAGGATCGAACTTGTGACTGAACGAAAAAGCGCCGGCTACGAATCTGAAACCATGACCACTAAGTTACCGTAGCCACTCCTACCACTCCAAACAGCCTGCTAATCAGTATTTATTTAAACTTACAAATTAAAACAGAAATATTTTCATGAAAACCAACAAGTAAAACTCCTCTCTCGATCTTTTTCGCAAACGTAACGGGCATGTTATCGCAGCGGAGGCTTTCGAAAGTTAAAGGTTAAAAAAGCTAATAATAAACTACAAACTAAACTTTATATCAAACTAACAACTTAACTAAATATTGCTTTTCGTATAAACTATCCTTATATAACTATACTAATAAAATAACTATTAATAAACTACCCAACTAATACACTAGCTTTATAACTAATAATATATAAATGTGGTTCAAAAAGAGAACTTGTATTTGAAGACAGATGGCATCATAAGATATTAAACGGAGCCAAAACAGATTTGACTTTGATTCCTAAGTTTGTATTGACATGGTATTAATGTGCTGCCAAATCAAAATTTTGTCGCTTCCGCGTCGAGTTGTCGACGTCATTTTGCATCAAGTTGTCACGGTCAGTGAGACCCGGATTCATCATTATGCACTGGAAATCAAGCAAACATAAAAATGTTGGGTGATGACGAAGAATTTTTGAGGAGCGAGATTCATCATGATCACGAATACGAGTCACTGAGACTTAGACAGTTGCCTAATGAATCATGCTGTGGACTAAAAACAAACTATTGTCGATGTTACGAGCGCCATCTCTTGGATTAGATAAGGACTTATTTAACGACCCTCGTAGTATCTACGTAATATATAAATCTAAAATATTTGTTTCTTTGTCCCTTACAAAGAAAATTAAATCCCCACCGTTTATCGGATTATTCCAAGGATTTTTAACATGCTTCTCTGATGCGTGGAAAGAACTGTTAACATGTTCTTGGCAAAAAAAAATTTGTTTCCCATGAATTTATTTTTGGTGATATTTCGAATTCCTCCCTTCCCTCATTTCAGATGTTTTCCAGCAGATACAACATTTCTTTTCCTTATATAAATCTCTTAAATTATTCTCTAAATTCGCAATTTAGATATTTTGAAAAGTGCTTCTTAAAACTATAGGATTTCATTAATGACCACAAACAGACATGTTCATTTTTATCTATACGCTTTAAGATTGATAACAACATACTATATTTTTGTATTTAAATTTTGTTCATTTTAGCTATATTTATATTTAAATATTTTTCAACAGTTTTATAAACTCGATATATAGCTATCAACATTAAAATCATAAAATAAATAAATAACACCACGCATCACGACAATTTGAAGTTGTGTTTAACCAACAGTTCTACATTTACATAAATACAATTACTTAAGCGTTTGTTATATATATATATATATAAATGCTTTTCATTTTAGTTCCGGTTTGATTATATCATAATTAGATGTATACACAAGAAGAATGTGGAACTACCTCGTATAAAACTAGGAAATTAAATCCTGTTGTCATAATGGTTGCATTATTTCGGTACAAATAATTTTAAAATATATATATTATTTAGGAAAAATAATGAATAAAGTAATTATTAACCCAACTATTCTTAAATGCATTGAAATTCTAATCAGGGAAAGAGAGATACAATCTCTAACAAGAAAAAAAAAAAATTAAAAAAGCACATTCGTCAACAAAATGGTGGGGAAAAAACGAGCTTAAGTGTTGAAATTATTAAACTGAAAGAAAAAAAAATATCTGTTGCCGTGACCAGGATTCGAACCTGGGTTATTGCGGCCACAACGCAATGTACTAACCACTATACGATCACGGCCATGAACGCTGAAGTTTCAAAAATAAAATTCTCACAAAATCTTCCTTCGAATCATGCTGATTCTTATCCGACCAGCTGTACAGATAAAGGAAATGGATAATGGTTTAATTTAAATATAGATGGCAGCATGGTCGAAAAACTTCCTTTTGAAAGAGGGATATATTTTTAAATTTCTGGTAAATCATGAAATCAGTATGCAAACATTTTCATTACTTTATAATTATTCTGTTTGTGCAGCATATTTTGGAAAAATATTAATTTTTCTTTTTTTGAAAGTATCATTAAATTAAATTCTAATGTAGATATAGGATAAATCGCCAATCATCTCCGCTCACATTAAATTTTCTAATTTCAGATTTTAAAATCTTCCCCATAATAAAGTAACATAAATATTTTAATTTTCTCTTTCATAAGAACATTTTTACTCTTGTTTGCACTATTTGTGTATGAATAAGTAAGTGGGATTTCCTGTGACGAAATAAAGAATAAATCTAAATAACAAGGCCTTAGTAAAAATAGAATGAAATTGTTCGGAAACATTCGGTATGAAATACAATGTAATTTGGTTATTCATATAAAAGATCAAACCATTCGTAGCATAAGTAAATATCAAATTTCTATCAATTTAAATATCAAATCAGAATTAAGTGATTAATTATTGTCAGAGATTTTCTAATTACTTTGAAATATAAAAACAAATAATTTTTTATGTCCATCATGTTGCGAATTAAGTTGAAGAGTGTTTAATTCATGTTAGAAGTAGTTTCTTAACTTAATGATTAGTGTTTTCTCTGTTATATTGCTTAATTTTTAGAAACAAGTATCATAAAGAAAAGAGTAAAAATGAATGATAACTCCTTCTCAAAATTAGTAAAAATAATGTATACAAGTAACAAAGCACTAATCACTTGAAACATTATTTTAAAGCTTTAAAATCGATACTATTTTAGTTTATTTTTTCATTATGAAGCAGAAACGATAAAATTAGTATTAAAACCAATCGAAAGTTCTATGCAAAGTTTGGCAAAGAACAGATTTAGCCACTTAATATGTACTTTTTTTATAATTATTATTAAGTTACTCAATTATATATAAGAATTAAAGTAAACGAGGAAATATCGAGAAATGAACTATAGTAAACTTTTCCATTATTAAATTAAAGCAAATGATAAATTATTAAATTGAATATATCTAAGCTAAATGTAATTAAAATTGAAGCAAACGATAAGAAATTTAAGAGTGATCTGAAGCGCTAAAAGTGATCCACCACCAACAATATTCCCTCAGGTGGACAAAAAATTTTCGGGCATTTTGTTAAGGAAAATGTTCAGATATCCGATAAAAAAAAAAGTATGCATTATTTGTATTGCACTTTTCTAAAAATTATATTTTATTGGGGCATAGCGGTAAAAAAAAATAATAAAAGAAAAAAGAAAGAGGAAGAAATAAGAGAAAGTAACGAAATGTACTGAAAACTTAACTCCACAATGAATTACTTTTTTTTAACTGCGTAGATTCACAATGATAAAAATATTGCAAAATAATATTTTACAAGAATAAAATCTAGTAGTATGCCTAAAACGAAAGTATATTCTAATGCAGCAAAAAAAAAAAAAAAAAAAAAAATGATTCAGTTAGGGTGTTTAACCCAATTAATTATTTTATATTTATCAAAACTTTGTACATTTTGCAGAAAAACAAATTCATAATAAATATAAAAAATAATTATTTTCAGTTATAATAGTCCTGCACATTACAGAATAATAAAATAATAATTAGAGATACAATTAGAGGATTTAAGAATCCTGAAATTAAGTTATTTACTTTGAACGACTTTATGAATTCATTCCGTAAGGAAATCAATGGTCATGTCTCCCAGATTATTTAATTTTGCAAACACTCTGATAAAACATAACTCGTTTTTAAGACACCATTTCGCATTTCTTAATCGTATGCGTTTTAATAATATGTTTAAAATTAGCATAGTTTTCGAGATACGTGAAACTGCTATTTAAGAATAGACAAGAAGCTGGAAATGCTGTGAATTTTTCGTTATTTTAATAGTTTTTCTTGCATATTAAATCATAAGAAAAACTATTAAAATATGAACAATTAATCCATACTTAACTTTTTGTACGGTGGTAATCATCTTATCCGAAAAAAAAAAAGCCGACAACTTACTCAAGAACATGTCATATTACGCTTTACGCAAAACTGAAACGCATTCCTGCTGCCATCTAGTGTTGGTTACGTATTTCATTCAATAAATGGGAAGCTTTTGTCACGGTTCATTACAACAAACGCTAAAATCAGAGCAAATCCATTTGGAGATTTCGCAACATTCTCTAAAATACCTTATGAACTGTGGCCGTGATCGTATAGTGGTTAGTACATTGCGTTGTGGCCGCAATAACCCAGGTTCGAATCCTGGTCACGGCACTTTTTTTTCCACCATTGTTCTCTCTCGGATAAAATTCAAGTGCTCACATTCCTTTATCGATACTATTTTTAAAGTTGGGTACTGTTGGTTTTTTTTTATTTCTAAACGATTACGAATTATTTTTGTTTTATATTTTAAGATCGATCTAAATTTTGAAAAATATTTTTTCTTTCTTAATTTATTGTATTCCTTATACCAAAGTAAGACTAATTTCTCCATTTTCTCAAATTATATAAATACTCGAAATCACATAAAAGTGATATTAAATTTTTCAATAGTAAAAATTTAAGCCTTTGGAGGAATAAAAAAATTCCTTCCATCCAACAAATAGTTTCTAGAGTCAAATGTAATCCAGAGAGATTTTTCATATGAGTTTTGCATTATATTTCACCATTATTTCTTTTTCTTTTCTTTCTGAAAGAACTGGCAATCTGTTGAATAATAATAATTTAAAATACTATTCGAATGCAACAATGATTCCAATTCATCTTTAATTTATCGATGTGGATATTGACAGCAATCACAATTCTTTTGAATCTTCATTAGCAGTTTAACAAGTAAAAAAAAATCATTTATTCCGTAATCCATTTCTAGTGTCTGACTTTTGATGGGGAAATGGACTTCTAGCTGAGATTTGACATAGAAATAAGCAACAACAATAATTAATGAGTAAATAATAAGAACATCACGTTAATCGCAAGGTATATATTCAAATTTATTAACTTGACTTTGAAAATGTACTCCATTCAACAAATAAAATGATTTTCGATGATCCAAGGAATTTATAGCTTT